CCCCAAAACCCCAAAACCCCAAAACCCCAAAACCCCAAAACCCCGCATATTCAAAGTGTAGTCTTAAACATGAATAATTCATTATCAAAAATATAGTAATTAGGAAGAATCATAGAAGAGCCAAATGAAAATTGATACTTCTTTATCATAAACGTGGATGATCTTAACCTTTCGCAATTGTAAGAATCTTCAGATAGCTTTCCCATAAGACTTCCCCTAATTATAAACTAAAGGTCGATTCGCTCATTCATCGAATTCATCATTTTCATCTTCTCCTTCATCATTGTCTTCAATGTTATCATCATCTTCATTATTTTCTTCGAGGTCTAGTTCCTCTTCGTCATCGTTGTCGTTGTCATTTTATAAAGCGAGGGCTTGGTGATCTTGAAGAAGATGCTAGTGATCGTGATGCTTGGCATCTCCATTTTGATCATGGTGAACTTGCTAGACTGGAGCGATGTGATTGTCCTGAGCCTGTTGAACTGGAGTTGGTTTTGCCTTGGGTTTCTCGACCTTCTTCTCTTCAGCATTCACCTCTTCACCAGCTGAAGCTTTCTTGGTCTTGGTTGCTTTGACTACCTTTCCTGCAGCAACTTTAGGGGCTTTTGCTTTTTTATCATCAGCTTTGCCCTTGGTAGCAGGTGCAGCTTTGGCTACCTCCTTCTCGACTTTAACTGGCTTGGCAGATTCCTTTTGTTTCTTCTTTCCAAGAACGCTATCACCTTTATCGGCGGCTTGAGCACCCTCAGCTTTTGCTAGCTTATCTTTATAAGCCTTCATGTCTTTATCGTACTTTTCTCTACCTCTATCTGATTAAGCCTGGTATTACTGCTTGTCAGCGTCTGTCAAAACCTTCCACTCCTCACTCATTCTCTATTGCACCAAGTTAGTAACAAGTTTAGCCATTGGTTATAAAAATTCTTACCTTAATGATATCTTTATGGTTGAGTTCTGGAGCTTCTTTCTTGAGTGCATCTCTTCTTGCCTGCTGATAGCAGAAAAAGGCGCTCATTGGCTTCTTGGGTGCATCCTTGGGCTTCTTCTGTCTCTTCTCCTTCTTTCCTGGCTTAGCTTGAGGAGCTGGTGCAGCTATAGATGTAATTATTAAGGAGGCAGTTCGAAAAAACAGAAAGAAAATGAATTTATTTGCTTCCTTGCGAGTCCACTTATTGAGAAATCAATATTGATTCTCAAAGTTGGGAAGTATGATGTCTGCTAGGGTAGAAAAAGCCTGGTTTTGCTTACCTTTTGGTTAAGTCTTAACCTGTTTCTGTTATTTCTTCTCTTCCTTTTGAGCTGCCTTGGACTTTCCCTTGACTTGCTTGGCGGGGGGTGTTTGTTTAGGTGGCATTATTGACTAAGAAAGATTTTTTCTCTCAAAAATATATTAGATACAAATAAGCAATAAACTCTTTAATATTCTCAAATTAAATTAAGAATTAATACTCTCAAACAATTGGATAAACTTTCAAACTCTCGGATAATAACCGAAACTCACTCAAATAATGAGATAGGACTGATCAGAGAGTGATATGAGAGAGATTAAATGATGATAAATTCAGACTGCCTAGGTCAGGGATGTATCCCCACTAATAGGGAATTAATGCAGTTGATTATGATGCCCGGTTATGGGCTATTTCAGCTTAAATCTAACATTACTCAAACTTAAATCTATATCATCACATTTCACTTTGCAATCCTCGAAGATTCGTCATATTTACACTAAACATATCTCAGATCTAAGTGGTGTAGTGCGGGTGAGGTCTATTTTTAACAGAATTCCGATTATTCGATTATGAAATCTCATTGTTTTCTTCATTATTAATTTATGATTACTATAATCCTAATTATTTATTATTATCTCTCACTCAAATCCACTTATCAAGCATCAAGGGGTTTTGGGGTTTTGGGGTTTTGGGGTTTTGGGGTTTTGGGGTTTTGG